TTTAAAGCCAAGTGTTCCCTCCTTAGAGTGCTGATATTCAGAGAGCCATTACTCACGTTCCTGGGGCCCTTGTCAGGTGTCCCCAAGGTGGCCTCAGTGGCAGCAAGGTGGGGGCTTGTGCTCTGGCATCCCCCAGGTGAATGAGGATGTAGGCAGCACACTGGTAGGGACCACAGAGCCCAAGAAAGCTCCAAGTCCACACACCCAAGAATGAAGGTGGCAGGCAGGAAGGGACCAGGGAGGGGCCAGACCCCTGGGGCAACATCTAGAGACAGCAGCTGGAGGAAGGGTGTGAAGGGGGGGTTACCATGGAACGCTAGGGTGTGCCCTAACCATGTTCACACAGGTGTGTGTAGAAGCAAAGTTCCAACCTGCTCTAAAGTGACTTCAGGTCTGTGATATCAGTTTACAAGACATACTGAGGGCTGGAGAGATGGCAGAACCATTAAAAGCTAAGGCTAACAACCAAAACAACATGCATTGATCCTGCAGGGGTTGAGATGGGCTTAAAGACCTGATATTATATTCTGTTATTCTATTTTCTGCTGTGTTCATTTATTTGTTTATTGGAAACAAAGTTTGGCTATATAGCCATGGCTAGTCCTCCAATTTGTGGCAATCCTCCTGCCCCAGCCTCTGATTTGCTGGAATTAGGCAGGATCTCATGTTGCCCAGGCTGTCCTCAAACTCCATATGAAGTTGAGGAGGTCCTTGAGCTTCTGATCCTCTTGCCTTTACCTCCCAAGTGCTGGGATTACAAGTGTGTGCCACCATGCCTGGCTTCGCACAGATTTTTTGTTTTATTTTGTTCTGTTGTTGAGGCAATCTCCTTAGCTTAAAAAAAAAAAAAAAAAGAATTATGTGTATGTGAGTTCCCTCGGAGGCAAGAAGAAGGTGTTAGATCCCCTGGGAACCAAGCTCCAGTTTTCGGGAAAAACAGCAAGTGCTCTTAATTGCTGACCCATGTCTCTACCCCCCACCCCCACTTTTTAATATGTGTGCATATTTTCACATAAATGTAGAGGCCAGTGGACAACATGAGGTGCCAACTTTAGGGACATTGTCTGCCTCTTTTGGGACAGTCTGCCATTGGCCTGGAGCTTACCAGTAAGGTTACACTGGCTGGCTGGCCAGCCCCAGGGATCCTCCTGGCTCTGCCTTTCAAAGCTGGGACTGGATTTCAAGCACACCCCTGATTTTTCATATGGTTGCTAAGGATAAGACTCAGGTCCTTGTGCTTACAAAGCAAGCACTTTATTGACTGAGCTTTTCCCCTAGACCCTTCATGCAGATTTTTATGCCATATGAAACTTAATGAGGGTAGAGATGTAGTTTAGTTGGTAGAAACTCTGGGTTTGATTGCCAGAACCACATGAAACCAGGCATGTGGACTGGGGCGATGGTTCAGTGGGTAACAATCCTTGCTGCACAAACAATAGGATCTGAATTTGAATCGCCAGAGCCCAAGTAAAAGGTGGAGTGTGCATACACCTATAGGTCCAGAGCTGCAGGGCAGAGAGACAGATGATCACTGGAGCTCACTGGCCACCAGCATATAGCTCCAGATTCAGTGAGAGATCCTGTCTCCATGGGATAAGGGTGGAGCGTGATAGAACAGAACACCTGATATCCTCCTCTGGCCTCTGTGTATTCATGCAGACATGCACATCCCCACATATAACATACACACACACACACTCAGCTCATTGAAGAATCCCTTCTAAAGTTCCACCCAATTCACATGAGGTAGAGCCCACCTAGAGGGTTAGGACAGAGAGTGGCTGAGTTGGGGCTGTGTGGGGAGGGTGGAGAGAGGTGGAGAGGCCATATGGCTGGAGGAAGTGAAGTGGTGGGGCAAAACTTTCTCTGTTAGTTACTTTTGATCAAAACACTTTGACAAAATCAGCTGGAGAGATGGCTCAGCTGTTAAGAGCACTGTCTGCTCTTGCAAAGGACCTGGGTTCAATTCCCAGCACCCACATAGCAGGTACAAACTGTCCTTAACTCCAGTTCCAGGGGAATCCAAAGCCCACTTTGACATGGGTGCACTTACTTACATGCAGGCAATACACTCATACACATAAGATTTAAAAAAAAAATACTTGACAAAAACAACTTTAGGAAAAGATTACTTTTTTTTAAACAAACAAACTTTTATTGATGGATAAAGAATCACATTCACACACATACGGGATTATACATACATACACATGTTCATGCAGAAAGACGAAGCTCTCAAGTGAAGAGGGGACCTGGAAACTCAAAATCCAACCTTCCCAGGGAGAGTCTGGGTTTTAAGAGTTTTACTGGTTTCTCTTCCCTTACTTTTGCATTGGTCGATTTAAACAAGGAAGAGAAGGCTAATAGGTCACATCCCCAAGCTGAGCTATCCAGGGCTACCGTACTCTAAGCAGGTCAGTTGTCATTAAAAAGTAAGGTCTTCCTGCCAGACCAAGAAGCAGGAAGTATGCTGTCTTTATTACTTCTTGGTGACTATTTGCTTACTAGGATTTAGTTCCTTACAGCATAAAACAATTTTTTTTTTTTTTTTGGTCTTTTTGAGACAGGGTCTCCCTGTAGCCCCAGCTGGCCTGGAACTCGGAACTCACTATGTAGACCAGGCTGGCCTTGAAATCACAGAGATCCACCTGCCTCTGCCTCCCAAGTGCTGGGATTAAAGGCGTGGGTGCTACCACACCCGGCTTCATTTCTTTTTTTAAAAAACAATTTATTGAGAATTCCATACATGCATATATGGTGTTTTGATCAAATCCATGCCCACTCCCTCCCTTCCAACGCCTCCCATATCTTCCCATCACTTTTTTTCTGATAACTTCATGTACTGTTTCTTCTTATTTTAATGGAGCTTTTGCTACTCTAACATTCCCCCCTCTGAAGAGGAAACTCTAAAATCTTTTAAGGATTAAGCTGGGCATGGTGGCACATGCCTGTAGTGCCAGCACTTGGGAGGCAGAGGCAGGCAGATCTCTGTGAGTTCAAGGCCAGGTGTGAGTTCAACTCACATAGTGAGTTCCAGGACAGCTGTGATGGATCCAAAGCCCCCAGAATAATGGATTTAAACTAAAATCCCCCAGGCCTGAGAAAAACTGTACAAGGAAGTAAAAATAAAAAATAATTCTGAATGCTAAGAACAAGCTGAGCTGACCTTTTTTATGCTCCTCTGCCCAAGCTGGAAATCATCCCAGAAATTCCCCCTACCTCTGCTTGGCACATAGCCGCCGCTTGTCTTTAAAAGAAACCTGTGAACTGGGCTCTGGACTTCTGTCCTCCGAGTGAGGTGGGAGTCCGTTTTGCAAAACGCCAATAAATCCTCATGCTTGTTGCATCTCCTGATTTGAGGACTGAGTTATTGGGGTGCGACCTCCCGTGAACGTTGGGTACCCCAGTCTGGGGGATCCAACACTTGGGGGGCTCGTCCAGGATTTGGTCACCCCCAGACCCATTTCCTCAGATCAGCAGGAGGTAAGA